GAACTAGAAGATAGGGTTGTTCTAGTTCTAGTAGAAGACTAGTTAAGTAGGAAACTAGGAACTACCGAACTAGAAAACTAATTGGTTCGGTTTGGTTCGGGTAGGTTTCGGTTTTCACATAAGAAAACCGAAACCGACCCGATATATCGGTTTATGATTTTGCCCAACCCGAAACCGACCGGTGCTGATGAAAACCCGGCCGACTCGAGTTGGGTCGGTTCGGGTTGGTCGGTTTGGTCGGGTTGGGCCTTCTTATGAACAACCCTATTTTCTGTAATGGGCCTTATTCTGGGCCCATTCTGTCTATATTAAGTTCTTTGTAAATTCTTGCCCACCTAAGGGCCTCCTTGTAATTATTCAAATATATCTTAATAAAAGAATGCTAGGGTGCTGAGAGAGAGTAGGTTCGAAACTCTCATTCTCAGACCCTCATTGCTGAACTCTCAAGCTCTCCTCTCTTCAGTTTTCTTCACAATAATTGGAAATGTTAGAAAGTTTAGATAAATTCATATCCTTAGAAATCACATAACAAATACTAAGAAGCCTTGTATGTTAAACAATACCTCAAATGGCTTTAACTCATGAGCCTCAAGGTGGCCTTGAGGTGTTTTCCTTGGGCCTTGTCTCTATTCAAGCTTCAAGGAATAAGCCTCATATGCCTTTAAACATTGAGCACAAGCAATCAATATGGTTTTATCACGTATCATCTAATAATATAAATCATTAAACTCAACTCAACAAAATGTTATCCCAATTATATGGGATCCACCTCTCAGCTACATGAATCCTGTTTCACAATTCCTGGCTACAAGGACATATCATCCATTAAATAAGGAGTCATCCTATCTTTTCCTCATTCGTCAGTTGCTGTCCTTTTCAGCCTTCTCCTAGCTAGCTCATTTAGAACCATCAAATTGAATCAAATCACCTCTTACAGATGCAATAGGTGGTTTTTAACATGTCCAAGCCAGCTGTATCAAGTTTTGATGATTTTATTGTACATTGGGGCTAGTCCTAGATACCCCATGAATCCATCAATCTCAACATCCTTACCTCTGATACACTCATTTATAATGTTTAGTGTTTTCATCGCTTAACACTTCGCACATATCATTGTTAGTGTTATATTAAAATATTTACCTTTTGATCTCAATATGCACCAATCAACAATAATAGCTTAACGCCTTCACCATTTAGTTCCCCATTTCTCCATATCAAAAAAAAATAGAGAAAAGGTTGACTTAGATCTTTCTGTTGGGAACTGTATTTTAGGAGTTAGGACCATCAACTCATATATTCTACTGTTCAGAAAATGCTATGCTGGCATTGGCATTAACAGTCTATAGCATTTTGAATTGTATGGCAAAAATCAGAGAGTATATGAGAGGGCATACAATGATGCACAAAATATGATAGTCAACTGCTCTCCTACCTCTCCTAAAACTAAGGGGAGAAGGGAGCTGTCACCACACAAAAATCCCTCCCAGTTGCAGATCTAGCAAGTTAATCAGCTTTTCAGTTGAGCTCCCTAGGACTTCATTTCACTATCTTATATGTACCTGAAGAAAACTGAAGAGAGGAGAGCTTGAGAGTTCAGCAATGAGRRTCTRAKAATGAGAGTTTCGAACCTACTCTCTCTCAGCACCCTAACATTCTTTTATTAAGATATATTTGAATAATTACAAGGAGGCCCTTAGGTGGGCAAGAATTTACAAAGAACTTAATATAGACAGGATGGGCCCAGAATAAGGCCCATTACAGAAAAGAAACATAAATAACAAGAAAGAATAAACAACCTATGGGCCATTTGGCCCATCTTCTCTACATATTGTTTATGTGATTATTTATTAATTTATACTAGTTGGGACTCGTGCAGTGGACAAGCCTTGTCAAACAAAATTGAAGTAGAAGGAACCCTTTAACATTCTTGACTAAGTCGAGTTAGTCCAAGTCCAACTCAAGCATTACTTTCAAATTATATCGTTAGTCTTAATATAAATTTTATTGCAGTAAATCTTAAATCTTTTATATTATATTATTATATAATTTTTACTTGTTTATTCATTTTAAATAAATATTAAATGGAACTTCAATTTTTACTAAAAACTTTAAAATTTTTATAAGTGGAGCTCAAATGGATTTTAAGTTACAATCAAGTGGGATTTTAAATTATAATATTGTTATATCACTTTGTTTTAGAAATGCAACTTGGGTGGGCTAGCAGAAGTAAGCATGCTTTTTGACTCATCTACCTATGCTTGGCGCCACCGAAGAGGAGGATAATGTGGAGGTGTGCATGAGCAGAATTGCTATGGACAATGTGGGAAGAAAGGAATGTCGAGATATTCCAAGAGAAGGAGAAAAGCCAACAAGAACTGAAGGAGTGTATCTTGTAGAGGGCTATCTCGTGGCTAGAATCTTTGGACTTATTTCATTAGTTTTCTTTTAATGATCTTTGGAGGCATTGAGCATCCGTGGCAAGCAGCTCCTTTCTGAAGAACAAGGTATACATAAGTTGGACACCCCCTCCTGAAGGCTTTTACAAAACTAAATTTTGGTGGCAGCAGTCAGGGTAACCCAGGTCCCTCTGAGATGGGAGGGGTTCTAAGGCATGAAAGTGATAATGTGGCTCTCTTATACTCAGGTCCTTTAGGTGTGGGGGACTTCACTAGGGCGGAATTACTAGCTGCCCTTTAAGGGGTACAGTTTGCAGTACAGTTAGGAGTGGAACGGGTGAACGGCTAGTAATAGAAGGTGATTCCAATTTAGTTGTGGAGTGGCTACAAAACCCAGAGACTGGTTTGGTGTTTTAAGAATGAACTTAAAAATTTAAGTGGCTAACAAGAAATCTGTGTCAAAATACAATGGGTGGGGAGATTAGCTAATGCTATGGCTGATAGTTTAGCCAAGCAAGGGGCAAGTAGGGAACAATTGTATTGGGCACAGTTGTAATCTATTTTAGTATCTAATCACCTGGAGAGGTTGCAGCTTGTGCTTCTCCATGGGTATCTTGTATCTGTCATTCTCCATTCTCTAATAAAAATTTTCTCATTTATAAAAAAAAGCAACTTGGGCAGGCTCAACTCAAATCCAGGTGACCTAGCACATGATTTTACAGGGGTTGGTCTTGGATTTTCAGTCCTCAACCTAGGCCCAAGCCCAACCTCAGCCTAATTTGAGCCTAGCCCGACTACATACAAAATATATAAATTTCCTATTTGAAGGTTTAAATTATTCATTCTAAATAAGTTCATGCAACTTTTTAATACATTGGAACTAATAAGCCCACCTAAGCCCAAATGACCAACCCGAGCTTAACCCAAACCCAAACCCCACCCAAGTATGTCAATTTTCAGTTTCAGGTTAGACTCAGGTTGGACAAGTTGGGCTTGACCTCGAGCTCTAGCCTTAAGCACAATGCTTAGGGTTGGGCCTTGGTTGACCTTAAATTGAACTGACCTACTTGACTTGCTTCCCTGTTTTATTGTGGTAAGTCAGCCCTATTTTTATATTATTATTAATTTTTAGCTATTTATTTATTTTAATGGAATTTAAATGAATTTTAAATCTTAATTAGAATGGAATTTGAGTATTGTGGCTTCATGCTTACTAAATGTTTGTTAACAACTGAAATGGTTGATGGCTATTATTTTTAACTTTTAATGATTGAGTTATTAAGGAAGTTGTGAGCTTCTTAATGGTTGAAGCTAAAATTGAGTGGATTACTATAAATCTTGAATATTGTATTATTTAATTATCGTATCCATAAAATACAAATCAATCATCCATTAATTCAAAAACTTCATTTTTTATCAAACTGTCCCTAATTATGAATAACATAATTTCAGAAACTCAAATAAGTTGAACACAATTTTCATAAATTTGAAGGTGTTCTATGTAATTTACTCTATTTACTTTGAAGGTGCTCTATACTCTCTCTCTCTCTCTAGTTTCTAATAAGTGTTCTTGAAAGTAATGCTTTTCTGTATTTATTAGCCAAAAGTAAAAAAAATGTAATGACTACATATTTATTCTCTATTTTATTTGACAAAAATACCCATGCTTTTATGAATTAAAGTAATGGGTATTTTGATCTCAGAAGACAAACACAAAGTAGAGGTGATTGTCCCAAGGACCTTTACTTTTTGGAAAACAAAACTCTCTATCTCTCTTTCTCATTTCTTTATCCTCTCTCTTCACAAAAGTGTTTCCATTGGTTGTTTCAGAAAATGGCATGGAATAAAAAATCAAAAAGGAGAAAAAGGAGAAAAAAACACACCTGGTTTTGTTTTAGTGTGTATGTGTGTGTGAGTTTTCTGCATAATATACCCCTCTTATGCATGTTTCTATACTTTTCTTCATTTTATTTTAATGTATTTCTTAAAAAAAATGTTAATCATGAGGCTTAAGAATCACTTTTTGAGGCTTACACTTCATGCATACAGAAGTCCTAGCGCCTCACGGCCCTCACCTCACTTCATGCTTCTTATGTAATATTGCTTAGACTTTCTTTTAAGGGATTTTTATGGTTTGATACCCTCATAATTTTTTATTGGTTTTCTGAATGTATTGTCCCAAACCCCCACCTATGCTACAGTACCCCCTTGAATCGTGATAGGTTCCCTGCCTGTCACTGTTCCAACTGTACAAACCAATAAAAATTTATGAGGTGGAGGAATCTATATCTTTTAATTGAAATTAACTATTTACACTTTTCATTTTGACTTAAATAGTTTTATCCCCATGTTTCAAGAATAATCCATTGGCCATCTGAAATGATTTAGGCAAATAAGCTTGGAGTTCTTTTACTGTCAATAGCTTGTATCATTTTCCCCACAATGTTGTTCATGGTTCAATTCCACAAACAGATTGGTAGTTCATATTAGGTAAAAATCTCAATGCAGTGACTCATTTTCCTGGTTGGTTTTGCAGCTATTGCTCGAACAGTGGGTCATTTATCAAAGAGTGCAGAGGTCATGAAACTTGTCAATAACCTAATGAAGGCTCCTGAAGTTGCTTCTACAATGCAAGAATTTAGTAAAGAAATGACCAAGGTATTTAAGTTTTTTTTTTTTTGAAGAGTAAAGATAAAACGTTCCATTAATTGAAATAAAAAAAGGAACCTTAGCTATAGAGCCTTGGTATTTTCTACTAATGCTACTCTTTTATTTGTTGAAGTCTGTCATCCTTCTATCCAAATTTAGAAAGATTGTGTTGACCATGGTTGATGTACACTAGAAGTGATACTATATCAACAATCCTGCCTTTTTGTCAAAATACTTGTTATCTGCCCATTGGCAGACTTATTCTTATTTATTTACTCTTTTTAGAAAGTAGAGTATTTATGAGGCCATCAGACTTACCATTGGAACAAATTTATAATGCATGTTTATGTGATGTCAACAAATATTGCCGGGGACAAATTAGGAAGCTGTTTGGTGACTTTTCTTGCTCTCTGCAGTATTTTCCAATGTTTTAAAACCTGGCCTGGAGGCTGCACTACTTTTCTCTCCAAGTGGACAGGTGATCAGTTCCACTATCCAGGTTAATGGGTCAAACCCTTAACATCATGCCAATAAAAAATTTCCAAAATGAAATAATATAAAACCTGGCGACCTGGTTAACAGATAAAAAAGGTTAATGGTTCAACCACCCTGGTCAATGGGTCACTGACCAAATCAATTTTTTGTAAAGTGAAGGGTTACATGTTGATTGAAACTGGAATCATGATCCAGTTGGCTGGGTCAAGAATGAGTTAAAAACATTGATATTTTCATTTCAAGATTCCTTGCATTTACACCTGCATTTTGAGATATGTTGGATGACTGAAGATCAACCCAGGCCCAATTCTATGACTTGGCTGTAAGGCTCAAGCTTGGATTGAGCCCAAGGTCAAGTCCAATCTATCCAAACCCAGGCCTAGCCTGAACTAAAAATTTGACACACTTAGGTTGAGCTTGAGTCTAGGCCAGGCTCAGGTTGGTGGTCGGGCTCAGAAAAGCCTATTGAATCGATTATATTAAAAAAAATGGCCCCAAACCTATCTAATATAAACAATTTTAACTGTTAGATAGGAATATTAAAAGATGGCCCAATGGATGGATGGATAGGGATAGGATCAGGGTAAGCTTGGGCTACCCAAGGATGGATGGAGTATCACAGTAGAAATAAACTTTCATTAGTAATTATCAATAATCATTTTTTGATAAATGGTAATTATCAATAATCTTCCTAAGAAAGTATAAACTTTATACTAAAACATAGAAAATCAACATGTTCATGAGAAAGAAAAAGTTGTCCTAGGAAAAGAAAAAAAAAAAGAATGTATTGATTGGACAAAATTCTAAGTTCTTCCTTGCCCATTGTTTCAGGTTTTGAAGTCTCCAAGGGTTCAAGACAGCATGCACCAATATGTGTGTTGATTGAACCCTATCAAATAAGAAAATATTAAAAAGGAACTAGTATATAAATCCACAAAATGAATAATTCATTGTAATAATGTCTATTTTATTATTATTATCTCAAAAAATAAAGAATATAAAAATATTTTATAGTGCCATGTAAGAAATAACTAGGCTCTTAAGCAAGGAAACCTTCCATAGGCCCCTTGTTGCCTAGGTATCACCTAGGTGCCCACCTGGATATTGCCTTGACAACTATTTTTCTAACTTGTCTTTCTTAAAGGTTCTAGCAGAAGCGGTGGATCAAATTAAAATCCTCCAAAGAGACAATTGTGGGCTCCACCTTTTGGGTAGTTGGTCAAGTTAAATTTTGATGGCTTCTTTTTCTCAAAAAAAAATGATGGTTTCTCACTTTGGAGAATGGGGAGGTTATTGGAAATTTGACTCAGCAAAAAAAAAAAAACATGTTTTATTTGTTTCTTACATTATACAATATACACGGATAGAAAAGGTTTGAAAGCTCATTTTTTTGTAGCTTGATAACATTTTGTAGTAAAATGGTATTCATTGTGTACATTTTCTGTTCATTTATGTCAAATAACTAAGGAGAGAGGGAAAATGTTAAGTAGAAGTATCCCTCAAGAAACCATGAGTGTTGGAATATGATGTGTCCAACACAGACACTTCATCCATTTAGGAGAGCCTAAGCAACACTGCTCTAAGATAGCAATAGAAAAGATGGAGGGTGGTGATTATACCATGGTTCCATTGAGGGTGCTATCTTATCAGAGAGATGATTCTTAGGCATCCACAATGAATCTCTCCATTGGGATTGTAGATCTTTTCTTTTCTTTTTTTTTCTTTTTTTTTTCTTTTTTTTTTGGTCAATAACTGCAGAATTTTATCACTTCAAATGAAAGAATGTGGTATGTACAGTATGTCAAGCATCTCCATCCTATTGTCTCTATTGTACTCTAATATTACACTTGAGCCCAAAATGATTTTGCCCTGATTACCCCTTGTTTGGATAAAGCGCCAGCCAAACCATTTGCCTACCAATGGATCCATTGAAAGCTTGAAACCACTCACTATCCAATTGCTAATTTACCTCATGGTGTGTCAGTACTTCCAGATCCTTCATTGGTGTTCTTCAGTCACCCCACTGTTATATTCTCCAGGTTGAGTGCCTTTGCCACCCTCATCCCTTGTGGAAATGTTCTCAATCTGGCTCTTAGCAAGTCACCTTGATGTGTAATCTTCTAATCTGACTGTTGATAGTTTTGCTAGAAGGTGTCATAGAGTGACTTTTATTTGATGTCCTTCGTTGAACTAGGGACTATTCATTGTGTACTTGAGCTCATTCTTTGAATTTGGAATTGGACTTTTTTCTTTTCTATCATGAGTAACTTTTTTCCCCCGAATCCTGGGAAGTTGTATTTAAAACTCTTGTACATCAATTACATTTTTCTTTTGTTACTGATGATGAAGAAATTTGCTTTTCCTAAAATCGTTCACTGTTTGCCTGTGTTTTGTAGGCAGGGGTGATTGAAGAGATTGTGAATGATGCTGTTGACACTGCATTGGATTCAGAAGATATAGAAGAGGAGACAGAAGAAGAAGTTGACAAGGTTTTGACTGAACTTGCTGGTGAGACTGCTGCACAGCTCCCAGAAGCTGTCAGGAGAGAGAGGGTAAAGCAACCTGCACAGGCAGCAAGAGCTGCGCAGGAGGTATGTGCATCATAACTGCACTCTAAGTTCCTAAATCTATTTGCACTTTATGGTCTAACAAGACATTAAGGCTGTGTTTGGTTGCCATGGAAATATATTTGCACTGATGCAAAACCATGGCAGTGCAAATGATTTGAGTTTAAATTCTGACCTATTTTTGTTTCAAATTTTAGCTTATTTTGTTTGATTGCAGTATAAATGAAGTAAATTAAGACATGAGGCAGAATAAAGTAAAACCCAAGACAAAGTTAAATGAGAATTTGCATTTTTTTCATTTGCACTCCCATGCATTTGCACTAGTGCAAATAAAATTGCACTTCAACCAAACGCAGCCTAAGGAACAAATGATTTCTGTATTGCAGGAAGAACCTATAGCTGAGGGGGTTGATGATGAAGAAGAACTTGAAGAGATAAGGGAAAGGCTCGCCAGAGTGAGGTCATAACTGGCTATATCCACATTGAGTTTGTATTTTATTAACTTAGGTCAAGCTGTTGTTCAGTTGGAAGGCAATGCCTTCCCCAGTTGTTGGAACAAGTAGGCAATCCCAGCTTACCAAACTATTAGAGAAAATATTAAATGTAAAATCTGTATGATAACTTTGTCTATGTTTATGCTATAATTTAGCTAAATCTTTTTCCCTTTTTATTTTTACTCACTCTCCCTCCACCGATGACCTAGGATGTTCTTTAGTAAGGCATAAGTTCCATCTCCAAAACCCATAAACCTGCAGTGGGATAACACTAATCATTCATTACTCAAATTGATCATGGTCATGGATATCCTAGGTAAAACTAGACCCAGCTTGATGATATTAGTTCCCTAATTTGTTTCATTTCGTTCATTGAAACCTTCTGGTCAAACATGAAAAAAGGGTTCAGGTTACAGGAAAAGTCCTATTGCAAAATGAGCTTTCAAATACACCATTTCTCTACCTTGCTACTTTGGAAACTCCAGGTTCAATTTCTTCATAAACATGTAATCGCAACCTTTCTTCTACCTGATTTTCTACTTAGTAAATCCATATGTTGCTACCGATTGGATAATCCTGTTCTCTATACAGGTTCGGTGGCTCAAGAGAGCTTACTCATACTTCTTATTATCTTTAATGTTTTTTATTAGTAGCCTTCGTTTTATTTTAATGTTACTCCTGATTGGATTGGATATTCGGATTCAAATCTGGTTTGTTTATATTCGGTTTCAAATCAAATATAATCCATTGGAATTTTATATGGATTCTTACAAATTTGGATTGCAATCAGATATTGAACAGCATTAATAAATTAAAGAAAATTTTAAAATCTTTTTTTTTTTCCTTTTCTTGTGGTTCTTTTTAAGCTTGAATATGGAACTACACTTGCTTGCAAGAGTCCAGCATTCTTCATAACAAAATTCTAAGTGAATACTGATATTGGTTTATAGAACCCATTACTTAGATCAATAATTAAGGAGAAATTTAATTTAATTAGTATGGTAATCAATACTGGAAAAGAAGAGAATTGAATATACTATGGATTTGAATAGAAAAAAAGAATGAGTTTAGCTTAGAGAAAAGAAGATTAGGGCCCATTTGGGAAGGCTGAGCTGAAGATTCAGCTAAGCTGGCTCACTGCTCACTTGCCTTGAAGCGCTTTGCATAAGCTCTCTGTTCAAAGGGGTTAGAGGATGGCCCTTCAAATAACAAACTGACAGCCCACTTCCACTTGTGCTATCAGGATTTTTCACCAAACGTAGGGCCCACCTCAGAAAGAAAGAAGCTGCTGCACTTCAGCCTTCCAAAACGGGAGGGCTTTGGGGACACGGCTTTTGGCGTTCTGAGCTGGGCCTCAAACAGGAATGTCAGAAGCTGTGTTTGGTAAAAATTTGAAAGGCAAATATGGACTTTCTGGATGCCCAAACCAGCTACTGTGAGTAGCTTCTCCAGAACACGTGTGCTCAACCACCGCAGTTCAATTAACACAATACACCCTAAACACAGAAGCCCTCCCAAATAGGCTCTGAATAAAAAGAGCTACCGATACTTAATCTCTCCAAACCCACAGATGAACCATTGATTGGGGTGGCAAGTGGGGCCTAGAAGAGGTAGGGCTGGCATGTTTTTATGCCATGGCTTTGATGATCCACTGGCCCCTATATTCCTTTTTCCTTACCTATTCTTGGCCACCGTATTTCCTCTCGTTAAGCTCAGTTTGGAAGGAGTACAAATACAAATATGTACAGTGCAAATACATACAGAATATAAGGTTTTGCACTGTACATATTTGTATTTGTATTCTTTCAAAGAATACATATTCAAATATGTATAGTGCAAGTACTTACAAAATACAAGATTTTGAACTCTGTATATTAGTATTTGTATTCCTTCCAAACTAAGCCTTAAAATTGTTTTTGGCTTGTCATTAACATGTAAAAGCACGCACCACATTTAACAATTTCTGATTTCCTTTGTTTTTGGCTTGTCATGTTATTTACCAAGACTGTGTTTGGTTTGAAGGAAAAAATAGGGAAAGGAAAGGAAAGATAGGAAAATCTTTACAAACCTTGTATAGGTACATTTTCCTTCAAACCAAACATAACCTAAGAGGTAGGGATGTAATGGAGTCAATTCGAGTATGAGAATTGGACTATTCGAATTCACTTTGAATTGAAAGTTTAGAGCTCAAAACTTGACTTGAACTCAACTAATTGGAGTTGACGATTATAAATAAATTAATATTACATACTCGATTAGGCTCATCTTATGAGCCATGTTGGACCTAGATATTACGAAGCTCAAATTCAACTTCCAATATTTATCAAGTCAAGCTCAAGTAATTCAGATTAATACTCATTAAAGTGTGACACATCAGCATTTAGTTTCGAGAAGCACAAGGACATTGGGGGAAACAAGAATTTGACGTTTCTCTAAATGCCCCATGCACAAAAATCAAAGTGTTTCAGCTTTCTACCATTTATTTGATAAATGGTGAAACCAAACAGTTGTTTCATTTTACTTCATATGCAATAAACGCCAATACCTATGTGGCATTGATGTGGTGGCATTTTTTCAATAAACGCCCACAAAACAGGCATTTTATGGTTTCATCCAAGCCCAGCCCATTCCCGCTTCATCATCACCGAAGGCTTTTATAATAGGGTAAAATATAAAAACCTCCCCTGAGGTTTCTAACAATGATGAAAACCTCCCCTTAAGTTTCATTTTAACAAAAATCTCCCCTATAATTTTGAAAAGTCCTGTAGTTACCTCCTTTCTATCATTGTCTCATTCATTATTAAGAAAAAAAATATATTATTGTTTCTATAATAGAGACTTTGAAGTTACAATATTGCCTTTATTAGTTAAGAAATCTTTCAATATAATCAAAATGTCGGATTTGCCTTTTTAGACTTCACTCAATCATAATGAGTTTACAAAATTAAATTACTTTACTCTTTAGGGTATTTTTTTAGTTAAAAATTAAAAATTATTTTTTGGAGTATTTTAATAAATTTCCATCCTAATTGATAGATATAATAGTAAAATGGGAGACAACTTCAAGAATTTTCAAAACTATAGGGGAGGTTTTTGTTAAAGTGAAACTTTCAGAAACTTGAGGGGAGGGTTTTATATTTTATCCTATTATAATATACTACCACACTTTGAATGCATTCGGTACATAAATGTATTTTTTTTATTTTACCAAACACCAGTAAAAACCGGCATTTGCACACTCTTCCCAAACGGAGCAGAACCATTAGTTACTAAAATCTAAAATAGTTATAATTTACCACGTGTCATAAAGTGCATCCCACTGGAGTTTCGCAAGTAAGATCTTCTGTTCTCTGCTCCGCTTGTTGTCCAAGTCCTACTTTCCGAGTTCCGGGTTCCGCCTAGAAGTAAGAACTGAGAAGTAGAAGCGAACAACGTTAGTTGCTGACTGCAAGAAGAGTCTCCCTGTCTCGCTCTCTCGCTTGCACGTTTCGTTTCTCCCAGCAACTGTTCTATTCTTTTTTTTATTTGAATCACATTTCCCGGTCCACAATCCGTTCGTCCCGCTTTATCAGTTATGTCAGGTGCTTGGTTCCCTTCGTAGTTTTTTAAGTCCCCCATTCCCACTGAATACTGATCCAGTGATCTTTCCCTCTCGTTCTCACTCTACCCAATAACCGAGAAGAAATTAATTAATGGAGAAGAATCTCTGTTTTATGTTTCTTTCTCTTTTTCTTCTTCTTCTTCCATCTTGTCTCTCTTCTGCAACAATTCCTAATAATGACATTCGCCTTCCTTCTTCAAGGGCAAAATTTCCAAAAGCACAAGCAGAAAAGCTAATCCGGGAGCTCAATCTGCTCCCTAAAGACGCCGTTGAAGTGGTTGATGACTCTTCGGTTGCAGTTGCTCCGAAGCTCATCGAGAAAAGGTTTAAATTCCCAAATCTTGCCGACCCTGAACCTGAAGTTACCGCTGAAGATCTCGGTCACTATGCTGGATACTATCGCCTTCAGCACTCCCACGCCGCCAGGTAGTTAGTTGTTCATCCCTCATCCATTATCCATTCCATCCAACTGGTTCATACTTTCTTCATTCATCCAACCACCATTAACAGAAACAGAAGTAATTTCTTTCAGTTCTGCTTCATAAATAAATTTTAGGCCTGATGGGGGCCAGACCCAGGCCCAGGCCCAGTCCTGGTGTGAGGACTGGACCAGGTTGAAAATGATCAGCCCAACTTCTTAAGTCTCAAACTCTCAATTGGGATTTAAGCAAAAGCAATTGGTGGTTTATTTTCATGACATGAATTACTTGGAAAGTTTCAGGCTTGCCGCTTGGCATTATTTTAGGGGTGCTTAACCAAACCGAACCGTGGGCACATATTTGAAACCGAATTGGTTCCTTCGATTTTCAAGAAGTGTCAAATCGAAATTAAACCGAACCAGCMGGTTAATTCGGTTCAATTTTTTGGTTTTTATATTTATAAAATATATATTATATAGTATAAATAGATAATTATATATATATATGGTTAAAATAAATAACTTATTGCCTGCACAGAATAATTAAACAATAAAATATTTGAGAATATAATCAACCCAACTTCAGTCTTCAGCTTCATCCTAAGGTGCTCACAAACTCCTTAGTAACTTTATTTACTAAAACACTATTATACAAAGCAAGGCAATTCAAATAAACTAATTCAACATCTACTTGTAAGGTCTGAATTGAAAACCCAGGACAATCATGATTTGATTACATAGTTGTTCTTAATACTGTGATGATCCCCTTTCTAGGATGTTCTACTTTTTCTTCCAATCGAGGAACAGCAAGAGGGATCCTGTTGTCATATGGTTGACTGGAGGGCCAGGATGTAGCAGTGAAATAGCTCTTTTCTATGAAAATGGGCCTTTCACCATTGCAAATAATCTATCCCTTGTCTGGAACGAATATGGATGGGACATGGTATGTACAGTTATTTCCACTCACTTCCTTCTTTGATCAATCTGAGTTAGAGTTAGATATATCTTCGGTGTAATAAGATATTTGCCATAATATCATACTCTTTATCTTCATTGATGTCATTTAGTTTTTTCCTTTAGGCTATGTTTGGTTTGAAGGAAAAAGTAGGGAAAGGGAGCCTTTTAATATTGGCTAAGAGATGTGAACTTTGTTGGCTCCTGCATATATGTTTGTCTGTGTCAAAGCTTTGTAAATACAAACTTACTGGTTATGTTGGAGCTTTAGGTTAATTTCCATTCTTTCTGCAGGCATCGAATCTTCTGTATGTTGACCAGCCTACTGGAACTGGGTTTAGTTACAGTTCTGATAAGCGTGATCTCCGTCACAATGAAGAGGGTGTTAGCAATGATCTATATGATTTCTTGCAGGTCTATTTTATTACTCCCGATGTTTTACTGTTCTAAACATTATAGAAGTGGGTGTACTTTAAGGTCATTTCCTTCCAAGTTCCAACCACTGGTGCCTCATCTGAAAAGAACAGAAAGTTCCTTTGGTCTAACTATTGATGTGTTCAGCTTGGAACTCCCCCCTCCCCTGAGAAAAAGAGAATAAGGAAAAGAAAAACACTGACAAAAGGGAAAAATTTTACTCATGGATGCTTACAGTTTGTTTGGTTGACAAATAATAACCTGAACTTGACATTGGATTTTTGTTCTTGATGCTAGGCGTTTTTTTCTAAGCATCCTCGGTTTGTGAATAATGACTTCTACATTACTGGGGAGTCATATGCTGGGCACTACGTCCCTGCTTTTGCCGCTCGTGTTCACCAAGGAAACAAAGCTAAAGAAGGGATCCACATCAACCTGAAGGTACAACTGCAATTATAAAAGATTGAGTCATATTTCACTGGTTCAGCTTTCTTTCTTGACTTGTATAAACTGGAAATGTTCGAACAGGGATTTGCCATTGGCAATGGGCTTACCCATCCAGCAATCCAGTACCGAGCATACACAGATTATGCATTGAACATGGGAATAATTAAAGAATCTGACTACCAAAGTATTAACAAGTTGCTACCAGCTTGTGAAATGTCAATAAAGCTTTGTGGTAATTCTTCTCTACTGAGACTTCATCTGCTCATTTTTCTCTCATTGGTAGTTACAGTCCTTAAAGTTATTTTGACATACAAGTCCATATTGGCCGTTCATTTAAAGCAATAACTAATAAACATCAGGAGCAGCCAAGTACTTTTGGTAGGATAATGCTGCCAAGAGGCATTTTATTTGATCTAATGATGGAAGCGTTATTTCAGGCACTGATGGTAAAGTATCATGTGCGGCATCATATCTTATTTGCAACACCATATTCAACAGGATCATGAGCCTTATTGGTGATACGAATGTAAGGAAGCACATATATATCTATCTTATCTCTTTTACGTTTGCAACACCATATTCATGTCTTTGGCTAACATTGTCTTGTCTTCAATCTGCAGTACTATGATATCAGAAAGAAATGTGAGGAGAGGCTATGTTATGATTTCTCAAATATGGAAGAATTCCTGAACCAGAAGTCTGTAAGGGAAGCTCTTGGAGTTGGGGACATTGAATTTGTATCATGTAGCCCTACTGTCTATCAGGCCATGATGATGGACTGGATGAGGAATCTGGAAGTTGGTATCCCTGCTCTTCTAGAAGATGGAATCAAGTTACTAGTGTATGCTGGAGAATATGATCTCATATGCAACTGGATTGGTAAGTTCCTTGGTTTGAGATAACAAGCCATCCTTTTCATTATTTGATAGCACGCTTATTGTTCATTAAGAATGTCAGTTAAAAGCGGTTTATGTATATTGTGCAGGGAACTCTAGGTGGGTCCATGCCATGGAATGGTCTGGTCAGCAAGAATTTATAGCATCTCATATTACTCCATTTATAGTCGATGGTGAAGAAGCAGGACTGTTGAAAAGCTATGGGCCTCTTAGTTTCCTCAAGGTTCAGCCACAACTCTTCCACCCAGATAACTGTTAGAAATATCTATTTGTAAGTGGAGAATGTGTCTCAACTGTGTAAATTGATTTATATTATGGTTGTCTGGTGGAACAGGTTCATGATGCCGGTCACATGGTCCCTATGGATCAGCCTAGGGCTGCACTGGAGATGCTGAGGAGGTGGACCCAGGCACCAGAAAATGAGGTTGCTGATATGTGATGACCCCAACCATGCAAGCCACAGTTGCCTCCTTTATTGATGGCACCTCTTGTTTGCCGCCTTAAAGATGACTGGGGTTTTGATGCAACCATGATATGGTTTTTCTCCCCCCACTGAGCTGAGCTCTCTCAAGTCTCAAGACTTGTGAATATTTGCCCAAATTCATTGTTGTTTTCAGTCTTGAGCGAGGAAGTTGACTATTAAAGGACTTCATGCTTAGGAAGAGTGTGATGGACTAATAAAGTAATTCTTGAATTCGACCTTTGAAAATTATTTCCTACTCAAATGAATAAAAGAAGCAAAAATTACTACATTTATGGTTCTGGAACTAGTTATTATCAAGCAATAGTTTCCTTTATATTTTAAAGTTGCTTTCTTCTGTGCTAAAGTTTTAATAACTACAAAAAAGTAATTGAGGTCGATTGCCTTTTCGGAGAATTACAACAAAATTCTGAGTTAATGAGGAAAAGTGCTATATGATAACTTCAATGGTGAAACTTACCCCTAAACCTGCACCGCTTAGGAGTTCTATCTTTTTTAATGTTTGACTTCGATAATTTGGTGTCATACTTGATTTTTTGTTCTCTAGAAATAATCTGATTTATACTTGTTTTTCTTTTCTGACATCTATTCATCTTAGACATAAGTGATTCCAAAAATTGAGTGCAAGCCATAATGAAATGATCTCCACAATTGAAGCTGTGATCAACACTAAAAGAGGAGAAACAGATGGTGGTTGGGGAATGGGTGAGAGAGAGAGAGAGAGAGTTTCCTGCCTGGCTGCCTCAACTGAGTCCATTGTATTCTTGTACAACATACTAAAAATCTTGTTTTTACAAGTTACATTCTCCTTTTTCTTTCCATCGTTGGCTTGCCAAGAGCACCTAATTTCAACTGTTTTTTTTTTTTTGTGTGTGTGTTTAATCCCAAGAAAACCATTAGGAAAATCCAGGTAGAGCAAAAAATAAATCAATAGTTCTTTAGAATTGGAGTTTTAAAGAAATATTGATCCTAGAAACATTTAAGGACATATCCACAGTCTCTAGTGGGAAAAATAGACCAGGAATTGAATTGAATTGATTCAATTGTCAGTTCACCACATCCATAGTATGTAATACCAAGGTAAAAAGTTCACCACAACCACTGATAACTTACAGAAGAATCGGCGTCGAGAAATGTGTACCAGATCTCGGAAATATTAACAGAGCACATTAGAATGAACTAATACCAGCTCCAACTCCATATAAACTCTTCAAGGTCTCAATAGCTGGACGGAAGTTTGAGCGTAAAGGAACAACAGAAGTGACACGCAGGTGCCGTGCGTTGCCGTTCCTTGGTTTGGACAGCGTCATTCGGAACATCTCTCCCTCCAGCACTTTACCAGCAGTCACACCTGAAAATGGTCGCACTCAATTTTGTCTTTTTTTTTTACTTTTATTTATATTTTTCCAAGTTTTCAAGCCAAGGGAATGAGTACCTGCAAATGGGTTAAGCTTGGCGAAGTCGAAAAATTCATCTGCAGAGCAACCAAAGAGAACCCTAGCAGCCCTATCGAAGCATATCACTACGAAAACTTTCTCATCCGTCGCAACGGAACACTGCAAAACAGGCAAAGGCCCAGTTGTTTACTGCCACCCATCCAGGAAGCAATGCCCCAAGAGTCTGGACTAAAACAACGGAATATATGGAAAGCAGCAGCAGAAATAGAATACTTAACGAGAACACGGTAGAGACGTTTCGAACTAGAGGAGCCTGGATTGAAGACATTGAAGTCACAGGATTTGCAGAGAGCAGGGGTACTGTTCTCCGGAAGTGTCCTCTCGCAGACAGAGCATACTCTGTAGCAGAAGCTCGTGTGATCCATGGCTACCACTGTGCAGATGACTGTTGAAGGCTTTTCATCTTCCATATCTTTTCCGGGGTTTCGGTGTACGCCTGCTTTAACCGGAAGTCCCAAAACGTCACCGTCCTGTTGCTCAAGTTCGGGGCTTGTTAGGGTTTTTCTTCTATTTCTGTAGTTCTTCCAATTCCCATCTTCAACTTTTTCCCGCCAACCCAACCAAATCTACGTGGCGGGGCCAGGCCATCACATTTTGATGGCCAGATAAAACCCTTTTCGTTCGTCGATGTAAATAGTAAAGTTCAATTTTTGGGGCTAGCTGATGCTTCCCGGGAAAAAATTAAATCTTGAAAACCCATCACTTATTTCTCTCCTAGAATCATGCAAATCCATCAAACAAGCACTGCAAATCCACGCTCAACTCATCCTCAAAGGCCTCAACCACAACATTTTCTCTTTGAGCAGACTGATCTCCTTCTTTGCTCTCTCCAGTTCACGGGATGCTCTTGATCATGCTCGACTTCTTCTCTCGCAAATTGATCGACCCAACTTGTTCATCTGGAACACCGTGATCAGAGGTTACTCTCGCAGCGAATCCCCTCGTGAGGCCATCGTTCTGTACAAGTCGATGGTTGCTGAAGGCGTCGTCTCTCCGAACAACTTCACATACCCCTTTTTATTGAATTCTTGTGCAAGGTTGTCCAGTGTTGAGTCAGGGCGAGGGATTCATTGTCACATAATAAAGAACGGGTTCGAGTCAGATGTCTTTGTTAACAACTCTCTCATCCATTTGTATTCAAGTTTCGGGTACCTGGATTGTGCTCGTCTTCTATTCAGCAAAAGTTGTCAGAGAGATCGTGTTTCTTACAATACATTGATCGGTGGCTATGCTCGAGGGGGTCAGCCTGCTGATGCATTGGATCTCTTTGGACAAATGCGGATTTCGGGTATTGATCCTGATGAATTCACTATCGTTGCTTTATTGTCTGTTTGTTCCACGTTGAACGATCCGAAGACTGGGAAAATTATCCATCTCTTGGTTGTCAAGAGTCTGGATATATACGAGAACAACGTTTTATTAACAAATGCTCTTATTGATATGTACGCGAAGTGTGGAATGATGGATATGGCAAATACAGTGTTCAATACAATGGGGAGTAGGAAAAGCACTCCGGCGTGGAGTTCAATGGTGTCTGGTTATGCTAGGTGTGGAGAAATTCTCACTGCTCGCCAACTTTTCGACCAGATGGGTGACAGGGACTTGATTTCTTGGACAGTCATGATTAGTGGTTATTCTCAATTAGGGTGGTATAATGAGGCATTGGAACTTTTCGCAGAAATGGAGGGTGTGGGCTTGAAACCAGATGAAGTCACTTTGGTTGCTGTTCTTTCAGCCTGTGCCCAATTAGGTGCTCTTGAGATTGGCAGAAGGCTTCATTATCAATACATAGAAGATAGGATGCTTGAAAAAAATGCAATTCTTAGTACAGCCATTGTAGACATGTATGCAAAATGTGGAAGCATAGAGCTTGCCCTTGAGATTTTTCAAGGAACTCCTGCAAAATCAAGGACCATCTCTCTGTTCAACTCCATGGTCAGTGGTCTTGCTCAGCATGGACTTGGTAGGACTGCTATGACAATCTTTGGAGAAATTGAGTCAGCTCATTTAAGACCAGATGTAGTTACCTTTGTCGGAGTTTTATGTGCTTGCAGTCACGGGGGTCTAATTGAAGAGGGTAATAAAATATTTGAATCCATGTTAAAGGATTATGGAATTAAGCCACAAATTGAGCATTATGGTTGCATGGTTGATCTTCTGGGGCGAGGTGGACATTTGAAGGAGGCCCATGACTTTATCCAGGGAATGCCATTTGAAGCAAACTCAGTAATATGGAGAGCTCTCTTGGGTGCTTGCAGAATTCATCAAAATGTTGAAATGAGTGAAATTGCAGGTAAGAAACTCCTTGAGTTGGATCCTGATCATGGGGCTCGTTATGTTTTGTTGTCTAACATGTTTGCTGATGTAAACCAATGGGAAGAAGCTAGAAGAGTGAGGAAACAGATGGAAGATAAGGGCATCCAAAAACCATCAGGTTGGAGCTATATAGAGTTTAATGGCAGTATACACCAGTTTTTGGCAAGTGACAGATCACACCCTCAAGCCAAAGAGATCAAGTTAATGCTTGAGGATATGACCAGACGACTGAAGGCTGCTGGATATGTCCCTGATACAACCCACGTGCCATTTGATATAGATGAGGAAGAGAAGGAAACTATTGTTTCTTATCACAGTGAGAAGTTAGCCTTAGCATTTGGCTTGATCAACTTTAGTCCTAATATGACTATACGTATAGTTAAGAACCTTCGAATCTGTGGAGATTGCCACTCAGCCTTTAAACTCCTTTCTGAAATTTTCATTAGAGAAATAGTCGTGAGGGATACAATCAGGTTCCACCATTTTAAGAATGGATCTTGTTCTTGTATGGATTATTGGTGATTGGTCATGAACAATGATGGTACAAAATGGATCTAAATAGAACATACTTCAGTCATGTAACCTACCTTTTTAGTTTTAGCCAGACCTATTGTTCTGGGTCATTCATTAGCTTGGTTAGCAATCTTTATAATTTGCATACAAGACATCTTCCAAACTTGATGAATATTTACTATTTCCCAGAAAACGGGATAAATGTAAATAGCATTTATTCTCTATGATGTAAACACTGTTGAATCATGCACATCATCTAATGGAATGATCTTTTTGATGATCTGAATGTGCATTTTGAAACCATGGAATTGAAATTATCCGGATTTATGGTTCTTGGTATTTGAATAACGAACAGAGAGGTGAATGAGGCTCTGAGCTACTTGGGTAAGTTGCAACAGGAGAATGTTAAACCAGATTCTTTCACTACGGAGAGGGTCTGCTAGATTGGCGTGGGGGAGTGGAATTGAGTTTTGTTTTCTCTTATGTGGTTCATAGACAATGCCTTGCCTTAGGTTGAGGTAAGTGAAGTATCAACTATCAAGGAGTGGAATTGAGATTTATTTTAATCCTGAATTTAGTAAGCTACATAACCTTGCATTGGTTAAATTATTCCAACTTGAATGACCATTAAAAGCCAGGAATTCTAATAAAATGTGGTGATCAAATGATAAAGATCATCTGGTTCTACTTTTGGATGGCGATCAATAAGGAATGTTGAGATGGCTAAGTGAAAGGAGTAGAAGACATATAATTTATAATTGAGTCCACTAGAGGAGCTGACCTTGAGTCATTCCAATGTTTGATAGAAAAGGACGGTAAAATAGTTCATGGTGAAACAAGTAGAGAAAGAAAAGCAGAAATACTTCACCAAAAAGAAAGCTGGAAATAGTATCTATTATCTATATCTATATCTATACTACTATAAAAAGTGAGAACAACTCCCATGGCTTCTGTACTTTTTCTTGACCAGAATACCTCTCTTTTTGAAATTGATTCATTTCTATTGGGAGGGAAAAACTTGTTACTTGAATACTATTATTCAGTTCATTCTATTGCTTCTTTAAGTCTCATATTTAAGGCATTAATTCCCATTCTCTCTCTTTAAATCCCATATTTTAGGTACCTATGTTTCTCAATATTAAACTTCACTAATTAAATTCATGAACAATAATTCAAAAGTATAAAAAAAAAATCAATTAACCTAAAAACAAAACCAGTTTTTTTCAGGTGGTGGGTAAGCAGTTCAGCCTTTTAGATCAAATAGGTGACCAAAAATTCCATCATTAAACACTTTAAAGTAGATAAAACATAGGAAAAAAGAAAAGATAATTTATATAAAATTTTGGACACATCTCTAATACTATATATTCATCATATTAAACAAAAATAAGTGTGAAAAATAAGTATATTTTTACTAATGATAGAAGTGGATTCAAAATTTGAAATTGACCCAAAAGCAAAATGATTTTCAATTCATGTGGTGGGTCAATAGTTCAACCATCTAAGTCAAATGGGTTAACCTATGATGTCATAATTAAATAATAAAAATTTTAAAATAGATAAAAATATTATAAGTTGTAAGAAATCATGGAAATTTTTTAGGAAAAATATGGCACATCTCTAATATTATATGTTCATCATGCTAAAAAATAAATATGATAAATAAAAATTATTTTTATTATTGATAGAATCAAAAGAAAAATATAAATAATGTATAATCCATGACCTCACTACTGGGTCAAGTAGTTCATTGGTTTAATTAGTAGTCATTAGGGTTGTTCACGGGTCGGGTTGGGTCGGTTTACTGAGGTTTTTCCAATCGACCCGACCTGGTCGGGTTACCTGAGATGGAAACCGAAACCGACCCAGTGTTAAGCAAAACCAACCTGGTTGATTTGAGTCGGGTTGGGTCAGTTTGGGTCGGTTTCGACTAAGGGGGGCGGACCAAGTTAGAATTAGAATAGAAGACAGAAGTTATCAAGAAAATAGAATGTGAAACTGTATTAGAGAAAGAAGACTGAAATTTGTATATTTCAAGAAACTTTCTAAGTTCTAATGTAAGTAAAAAAGGACACCTAATTCTAATTGTAATTGCCTAATTGGTTGCCTATTTGGTGTAAAAGACTATAGAAACTAGGATCCTTTGATTCTTTTCTTTAAACTTTTCCAAAAAAATTCCTTGTCTAGTTGTCTTACAATATTTGCCATTAATGTTATTCCTAACTAGAAAACTAGGTTAGGTTGTAATTAGGAATTAGGATAGAGACAACTTAGTTAAGTAGGAACTAAGTCGGTTTGGTTCGGGTCGGGTCGGATTCAGTTTTCACACAAGAAAATCGAAACCGACCCGAACCATCAGTTTATGAATTTGTACAACCGGAAACCGACCGATGCTGATGAAAACCTAGCCGACTCGGGTTGGGTCGGTCTGGGTTGATTGATTTGGTCAGGTTGGGCCTTCTTATGAACAGCCCTATTGGTCATAGTGTTATTGACCAAGTCAATGGATTTTTTTTAGGCAAGCAACTTATAGTAAATGGACTTCAAATCCCAGTCGAGTGATAGGTCAACCAATTTGACCAATTGATTTGACTTTAGGATAAAAAGCATTGATAAAAACCAATATTTTAAAAAGTGATTGGGATCGCATTTCCCTCTAGTTAGATAATTCAATTTATGATATCGTGGATTAAATAATAAAATAAAATATAGAAAATATTATAAAACTTATAAAAAAAATTAGCATGTCTTTAATATTATATTTTCATCATATTAAACAAAAAATGTGCACAAAATGAGAATTATTATTATTATTATTATTATTATTATTATTATTGTTGTTGTTGTTGTTGATGGAAATGGCTAAAATACCCAAAAAAAAAGGAAAAAAAAACTAATGTCCTATACATAACATGTTAACCTGATCAAATAGGTCAGTGGTTTAACCAGTAAGGTCATTTGGTTGTTGACCAAGACAACAAAATTATTTTAGTTGAAACATTTTGTCTAGGTAACATGTCAGAACCAATTTGAGTGTCCAATTCAATTACAAGGTAAAAACATTGATATATTGATATAAACTACAAGTCATAGGATTTGAAACCAGGTCTTTAGGTTGAAAGAGAAATAAATGATTTAATTTAGCATCATTTACTAAAACATCCCCTATAGTTTTATAATTTTACTAAAACATCCCCTATAATTTGCAATCAATTTACTTGATCAACCTTTAAATGAAAGTGGAAAGTGATAGTTTTTGCATTAGCATTCATTCAAATAAATTTAATCAAAGAAACTAAAAACAAAAATGCCATTTTCATTCCTACTAAAACATAGATAACCACTCTATTTTTATCTATTTGGTCAATTTTATTTTCTACACAAAAAAAAAGTGTTAAGGGTACTTTTGGAGTAAACAACCATGGATCCATACCCTTAAACATTTTGCACTCAATTTAGGGGTACTTTTGGAATAAACAACTATAGGTTCATGCCCTTAAACATTTTCCACTTAGTTTAGGTGATCACGTTACTATTTTCATATGGCAAAACAAATAGTTCATAATGAAAGGTCGATTAAGTAATTAGGTTACAAAATATAAGGGGTATTTTAGTAAAATGAAAACTATATGGTGGATTTAAGTAATCTATGAAACTATAGAGGGTGTTTTAGTAAATGATGGATTTTTTAACAACACTTAAAGGGTGTTTTAGTAAAATGAAAATTATAGGATATGTTTAAGTAAATTTGTAAAACTATAGGGGTGTTTTAATAAATGACGGATTTTTTAACAACACTTAAATTATTATCATAATCATTTGAAATTGACACATGCATACTTTTATTAGTATTTTCAAAATAAATCACATTAAATACCACGTCAACATAATTTTACCATTAGAACATTACAGTACAATGAACACTTGTGATCAAGGTTTTTAAGTAAATCTTGGGTCGAATGGTCCAATCATTTGAATAGAACGGATGGCCCATTCTAACAAAAAAAATAGCCAAAACCGTTGGAGGGTTTGAACGACCAAGTCAGTAGTTTATTGATCAAATCAATGATTTTTAGCGAAATAACGGTTTTAAGGTAAAACGGAACCAGTCATCATTTTCTGGTCCAACCGTCTGGTCCAGTATGGCTTTGAAAGCCATGCTTGTGATTTTGTCTCACTTATTAGTGGAAGACAACAATATAAAAATAATGTTAACATCCTAACCAAACACCACTTAAGTGACCAGAGAAAATGCATGGTGAAATAAGTAGAGAAAGGAAATCTGGGAATAGTATTGATTAAAAATGACAAGAAAACTCGTGATTGCTAATAAGAAAGAAGACTATCGAGGTGAAGTATATTATTCTACCCTCTTTAAAGGGGAAAAACTTTGGCTGTTGAGGGCCAACAGCTTTTCTTTTTTTTTTTTTTTTTTTATCTTTTTGGGGTATGTTCATTTGAACCTCATTTGAAATAGAGGAATCATTATTTTTTTTTTTTTTTTTTTTTTTTTTCTGCGTCATGGGGCTACACAACAAGGGGTAGCCCATCCCTTTTCCCTTAACCACCCCAACCCCTGGTGGCAGCGGGATTTGATCCTAGGCCTCTATTCCGATGAATCAGAGAACCTACCAACTGAGCCGCCGGGCCAATAGCTTTTCTTGTTGAGATAGTTTTTGGGCTGGGCATATTACCATGAGAGTGGGCAAATTAGTAATTGCCTTCTAATTTATTTTGAGTAAAAACAAAAGCGTGTCCTTAAATTGGTGAACTGCCGTGAATATGTCCAACCCAGAAACTCTCTCAACAGGAAAGGCTATTGGCCCCCAACAGCCAAAGTAAACCCGTCTAAAAGCTCCTGCCACGAGGGATGTTAGTAATAATTACTAATTAGTAATTCTGCCTTGACCCCACCCAATCAGCTTGGGCTTTGATCCTAAAACAGATTTTGGTTAAAATTGATCCATGCAGAATCGTTAACATTAAGTCTGCATTTGGTTTCAGTGCAATTTTATTTGAATTAGTATAAATGCAAGGGAGTACAAATGAAAAGAATGCAAATTCTAGTTTAAGTTTGTATTGGGTTTTATTCTATTTTGCTTAAGGTCTTATTTTATTTTCTTTTTACTATAATCAAATAAAACAAGGTAAATTTTGAAATAAAAATAAATCAGAATTTGCACTGCCATAGGTTTGCATTGCAACCAAACACATCCTAAGGATTCGTTTGATTCATAGGAATAGGGGTTTAAAACCAGAATTGGAATGTTCCATGTGAATTCCAACTATTTGTCTGAGCAAAATCAGAATCTGATTCTTTTTTTTTTCTCTTGTGGAATGACCATTCCCTTTGCCTCCCTTGAGAATGAGAATCTCATTCTAGTTAATTACGATCTCAATTATAATTCTCACCTGAACCAAACAGATGGGGATAAACCATTTCAATTCCAATTCCAAGGGATTTCAATTTCAATTTCAACTATGAACCAAACAAATAAAAATCATTCTAAAATTAATAACATAGATATTGTTAATGGTACGAGTTTAAGTCAGGTTCAATGATCCCATTTCACTTAGTTAGATTGAGTTGAGACAAACCACACCAAATATGATCCATTCTTACAAGCTGCTCATTCGTATGATTCAATCTAAATGTGTATGATTATACATAAATACATATATACATATATGTATGTATATAAATTTATATAAAATTGTTCTTAATGTTTTTTTTTTCTAAAATATATAGGAAGAACAGTTGAGTTGTGAGCGCATCGCCGAAAAGAAAAAGAATCTATGAGAATTGTATGTATGTATGCATGTATATCTATATAAATATATTAAGTTGAAATGTATAAATAAGAAGGTATGAGGATGAGGTAAATGGAATATAACAGTATTTTTTGCCCCTTTTTTTCATTGAAATTACAAGAATGCCACTCTCTATCAACTCTCTCTCTTTTTCTTTTTTTTTTCTTTCAAAATACAAGAATGCCACTCTCTCTCTCTCTCTCCTTATAAATATAAGAATGCCACTCTCTCTCCAATTGAGGGAGACCTCTAGCTCAACATCTTGGCTGCTAGGGGACCTGCAATCAAAGGTAGTCGAGTTCAAGCCGAACCGAGCTTGAACTTCTGAGCTGAATCTCAAGTCTCTAATTTGAATCAAGCTTAAGCTAGACGACACCTCGGCCATTGAGGGAGACCTTGGCTTGACACCTCAGTCATTGAGGGAGACCTCGGCTCGGCACCTTGACAACTAAGGGAAACTTCAACTCAACACCTTGTCAACTAAGGGAGATCTTAGCTCGACACCTCGTCTGCTAGAAAAACCTCAGCTCAATACTTCAACAACTGAGGAAGACCTTGATTTGGCACCTCGGCAATTGAGGGAGACCTCGGCTTGGCACCTTGACTGCTTGAGAGACCTACAATTAAAGGTAACTAAGCTCAAACTTCCAAGCTTTTGACTCGAGCCGAGCTCAAGCCTCTAATTCGAATCAAGCTCAAGCTTGATAGTTTATGAGCGAGCCCCTACAACACAGGGCCCCCTTCGCTAGTATATATTTAATTGAAAAATCAAAAGCAAGACTGTTTCAAGAATATCTAGATCAGCCCTGAACCAAATGAGATGAAAGGCTGGTGGAGACAAAGACGGTCTTGGTTCATGGAAATCCTAACTCCTAAGGCTTAGTTTGGAAGGAATACAATTAGAAATATGTACAATATAAATACAAGGTTTTACACTCTACGTATGTGTATTTGTGCACCTTCTAAAACTGAGCTTAACGAATTTGTTACTATTCATAATTTGCATTTTTTTATTTTGTTAATGGTGTGATTTTATTATTGGTTAATGGTGTGGAGCCAAGTGTATGTCTTTGAAAGTTCAGGGTTATTGATAGTTGCACTTGACAGGCTCCAAAGTTGTAGTTTTCCCAATTTTATATTTGGAGAAGTATGGATTTGTCCAATGCAAATTTCTAATTTATACTGCAGAGCTATAAATATTCAAAAGGACCACAACCCACATTTTATGCACCAACACCCCCAATGAATTGGCATCAATTTTGAGCCTGCACCTACCCCAACAGTACTTTGAACCTACAAATTCTGACCCTGGGCTGATCGGTCATTCTCCCTTTCATATTCGCTTGCAATCTGGATTTCGAACCGAATACAAATCCGATAAGATCCAATTCGAATCCGAATATATAAACGAATCAAATTTGGATCCATCTTATATCCGATTCGATTCGACCCGTTAGAAATTTTAAGTAAAATTCTGTTTGAGGAAAGGGTTTTCTGGTAAATTTATCAGTCGTTAATCAAATTTGGATCCATCTTATATCCAATTCGATTCGATCCGTTAGCAATTTAAGTAAATTCTGTTTGAGGAAAGGTTTTTCTGGTAAATTTGTCAGTCGTTTTGATTTGGAGTATTTGCTGGGAAAGCTTGTTCTAGTCGCACTCTCAGAGATAAACAATCTGTGGCGTCTAAAGAAAAATCTCTCTCACGTACAATAAGAATCTTGAATTCTTTTATTCTGACTTGAAAAGAAGCACGAAGAACGAAGGAATACAAGGAAGACGGAGAAAGGAAAATTCCCACATTTCCAACCTTCGGAGGCTTCTGTTCGAAGCACAGAAAGAGCAGAGCCATCAAAAGGTGCAAATTTTCAAATGTTGAATCTCCTATAATTCTTCTTGTAACCCATATGATTTGATCCAATTTGATATTCATTTTAATCTGTTTGGCGTTCTTTACTCATTCGATTTTCTTTTGCAGGGAGGAAATACATATGGAGATCGACAAGGCAATTAGAGAAAGTAACGATACAAGGTTGAAGACCAAGTACAACAACGCAGTCTACGTTATACAGAGAGCTTTCGCTTTATACTCGTAAGCTCTTATCCCCTCCTTCCAATGTTGTCACGTGTTTTCTGAGTTCGATTTTTTGAATTCAGATTTTTCAGCAAGACAACAACCTTTTTTTTTTTTTTTCTAATTCAAGAATAGACTTGGTTATTCTTGTCCGTTTTCTTCTTTTTCGTTATAAAGTTGGGTGTGTTGATTGAATCTTACGAGTTTCTGTAACGGGTTTTCTTTTTTACTCTTCATTATGTCTGGTTTATGAGTTTATAACTAGATCAATGCGTAGACGAATGAAGAGATTTGTATGGTTAAATAGTTGGGATATGTCTTTTTTGATTATGATATTGATTGTTTGTGACAAGTATCATTTTACTTTAGTTGTTTTATTTATGGAAGAAGTGGTTGGCAACTATAAGGAAATTCTAAAAGACATTTTACTCTGATGAACTAAGGCTGTTGTGAGAGAATATAGTGATTAAAATTCCAGAATGACTAACCCAGAGGAAACTTTGAAGAATTTGCTTTGATGATACAATTGAAAATTTGAAATGAACATTCTATCAAATTGTTCTAAGAACATGCTACACCCTAACAAGATGTACTGATAAGTGGGAAACACCAACCAAACAACAAGACATAAAAGGCTTCTGTTGCATGGAGAGAGTTAAAGGAAACTGTGGTTTTCCAGAAAATGTTGGACCAGTACCTCCTCATTTTACTTTTGTCTTCTTTTTCTCCTTTCTTTTTCAGAAGAGATCAACAGGTAGGTTAATCTAAACCTCTGCCTATTCTCAATCAAGTCAAGATTGAGATGCTTTTTAGTTGGTGTCGTCCAGAAGTTAATCATTATCATGGCATACAGAAATCATACACTGATTGGGATATGGTGTCACCTGACACAATTGAGAATTTCTTCCTTGGTATGGAGCTGCAATATGGTATTTTTTCATATTCTTTAGAACTATGATAATTAACATTGAGAGGAAAGCAGAGAAAAGTAGGGGTTTACATAGACAAAGTCAAGGGCAAGAAGTGCAACTGCATCCACAAAAGGGTAAAACATCCCAAACTTATACCAGAGAAATCTAAGTTGTCTTGAAGGGTTTGCTGGCAATATGACAACACAATTATGTATCCTCACATTTGGACCATGTAAAGAGCAGGGGTTTTGACATGGCTAATTATGTGTGGTTGTCAAGGAGAAAATGTGTTGCATCTCTTAAGTAGTTGCTTTGCTGCAAATTTTGTTCGGAGATTGTTAGTGTTCAACCGAACTGAGAAGAGAGAGAAAGGAGAAAAGTGTCTAACTGAGAAGACAAAGAGTCTAACCCAGTCGACCATATATTTAGACTTGGTAAATAAGTGTACAAGGACAAAAATACCCCTGTCTAGACAGAAGGCATATAACTCATACATTACTGATATGGAAAAGACTGAAACCCTATTTAGTCAACTCTAACACTCCCCCTCAAGCTGGAGAATATATATCATATAATCCTAGCTTGTTACATATGTAGCTCATTCTTCTTGAATTCAACCCTTTTGTGAACAGATTTGCCCATTGATCACTTGTTCTCACATGCTCTGTCCTATCACACCATTGATGACCTTTTCCCTTACAAAGTGACAATCTACCTCTTGAAAGCTGAAATGTTGCAGTCGAAGTAGTAGAAGAGAGAAGGAGACCAAGAGGTGCTGAGAATGTCGAACTGAATAACCCAGTCGACAGTACTATTATTTATATTATATTATAGTACAATGTTACAGGAAATGTCTGGAATGCCCTCGATTAGTGATGGGACACCCAGACTACTTAAAACAACAAATAAACTTAGGCCCATTAACATAGGCCCAGTACATAACAACTTAAACACAAATACAGACTAATAAGAACACTTATCAGCCGAACCATCAATACATAAAACCCCTCAACCTAACACTCCCCCTCAAGCTAAGTGATGAAGGAAGATTTGGCCCGACCTCGTAACCACTCAACACGTGGCAAAGGCAACAGCTCGGCACAACAGCACGCCCAAGGCGCGAGCTCCGAAGGGAGGAACCAGCGGTCCGAACTCCCTACAAGGAGCCCGAACTCCCTACAGGGAGCCCGGGCTCTCCCTTAGGCCCCAAGCCTTACGAAACAACCCGAACTGGCCCGGCCCATGGCAATTCGGGCCACACCCCTATCCGAACTCAAGACTTAACCTCGCACACCACTCCAGCACTTCGCCTCCAGGACGCCAAACTAAACAAACCGCACCGTACCTGACACCGAAGGAGTCCGTATCCAGGGGCGGCGCACTTGACTGACTTGGGATCTGACGCTTGACAGCCGCACTTCAAACGGCCACCTGCCACCACCACCTGCCACCGCCATCTCTAGTTACAGAGACGGCTCCGACAAAGAGAGCAGTGGCGGTTCTGCCCC